AGGGACAGCGCAGGAGAGGAAGGCCCTCTATGAGGTGGATTGATTCAGTGACTGGGATAATTGAGATGGGAGTGTCAGAGACAGTGCGACTGGTACAGGACAGAGTGGAGTTTAGGGCTGTTGTACATAGGGTCGCTATGAGTTGCAGGCGACTCGACGGCACATAACAACAACATGTTTATTACTTAGAAATAGTATAATAAGCAAATAGAAATAGATTAAGTAAATTGCCAACATGCTTTTTACTTAGAAAATAAATGAGTAAAATAGATAAGGAGAATGTGAACTGTTAGGTCCGGACAAGGAGGCCAAGGGGAAGAATGAAGAATTTAAAAAATACACACATCGACTAGAAAAGAGAACGGCCCGCCCACCCAGCAGAACTAATGGAGAAACCATAAATCACAATGGAATGTCTCTCCCTAAAGATTCCGTTGTAAAAAACCCTCCCCAATGAGTTCACAATGTGACCTCCCCATTCTGCATCTTCAGAATGAGGAACCTCACCTGGGAGCTCCCCCACCCCTCCCCTTTTTAATAAAGCCACATTAAGCTTTCTCTCTTCTCTCTGATTTCTTCCTTAAGTCCGCTAACCTAATAGGAACCACTTAAGAACTGTATGAAACGAGAGGTATAGATACAGCACAAAAAAAAAAAGGAGGAATTAAGAGACAGCAAATGCTGCACCTAGTGCTTAAGGGATGCCAAGCAAATTGGATGTCCCTGACCTTAGTGGCCATGGGTCTCTGGGACTCTGGTCATACTCCACTTGCTACGACAAGGACTCAGTCCAGGTCAAGACCACTGACTTTGAAGTTCCTGAGATTACAGATCCCTCTCCAGGATGGAGGAGAGCCTTCTATCACTGTTATAGGAATTGAGACTTCTACGTCGGTGAGCTCACCCATAAAACAAGTCTTTTAGGAACAGATAATATATTTAGACTTTTTATGTACTCTTATACTCTGACTGAATTTCTATAATCTCTGTTCTGGGAATTTTATGTTCAGTGTGGTTGATAAGTATTGTTTGTGTTGTTTGCTTGTTTCCCCTGAATTGCTATGTTTTAGATTATTTGATATTTCTCCAGTCTGCACAATTAGCCATTCAGAGCAATAGGGCTTGATTGTATAGACGTTCATTGAAAGAGGTCCAATTTGGGGTAAAGTTGGGAGTTGCAGTGTTCCATGTTTTGGAAGATGAATTTACAATAACTACAGAGCTGTAGAACCATTAAAAGCTGTGAATTTCCAAATAAATCTGAATACTTGTCTTTATTAAAACCCCATGCACATCAACTGCACATATGCTGAGTTACCTGGCACTCTAAATGGTGGGGAAGTGTGAGGAGCCGAGAAGAAGGCATTTTACCCTGTCTTTGCTAGTGCTGCTGTTAAAGCTGAGTCTACAGAAAGATGTTTACCGCTAGTAAAAAGTTCGACTTCAGTCATCCTCTGTCTTCTGCCCTAACTTCATCTTTCTTCATAAGTATTATCTACTTATTTTTCTGATTCAGACCATGAAATTTTCACCATCACTTGCTATGCATCTGAGAGCTGGATGACAGAAGAGTGCTGAATATCCCATGGACTGCCACAAGAAGTGCAGTCAGCGTGCTCGTTGGAGGCAGGGATGAAGAGGCTTCGGTCTCACATACTCTGGGTGTGCTGTTCTGAGAGACTATTCCTTGGAGAGGAACATCAGGTTGGTGGGTGTGCGAAACAGACTACATCAACCATATGTACTGACACAGTGTGTCTGCTGCAGTTGGCAGGAATGTGCCAGAGATGAGGAGGGTGACACTGGATAAGGACAGGATTCGTGGCACAGGATAGGGCAGGGTCACTAGGAGTCACACTCGACTCCACAACCCCTAACAGCACCACTTATTTTTCTATTATTTATTTACTTTCACTAGAATTACGTTCCAGCAAAATAGGGAGTGCGTTGCTTTGGCGGCTGTCTTCTCAGACCCTGGGAGAATGCGGCCGTCGGTAGCGGGGCAGGTAAGCGGCCACTCAGTGGGCTGTAAGCAGACTCCCCCAGGCAGAGGGACAGCGGAGCGGGGGCTTCCTCGCCGGAAGAGCGGGCCGAGCACGTGACCTGGCGGGAGCGGCCGGCGGGAGCGGCCCCGTCGGCGAGCGAGGCCTGTGGGTGGGGGGCGGTGTTGGGGGACATTTCTCTTTCCTTCCGGGTCTCGGCGGGGTTCGTCTCCCGGGCTTCAGGGGCCCGGCCCCCGCGGCGCCTGGGGTGGAGCTGCGGCCGAGCGGCCCGGAAGGCGCCGGCGCTGAGCAGCTTTCGGGGTGCGACCGCCACGGGCCGGGCCGCATCGGGGTCCCCACCGGGGCTGGGCGCGGGGACACCGTGTCCGAGGGTCACGGTGCTGCCGCCGGAGGCGGAGCTGGGGGCTGAGAGGAGGAAGCCTTGGTGGCCGCCGCCGGAGGCATCGAAGCTGCAGCCGAGAGAAGGCGGCGCCACGAGAACCCTGAGCTCGGCTCTGAGGCTGCGGCTGGACACATCCCGCTGTTTACCTTTTGCAAGACCACTCACCCTAGACCGACTGTCGATAGGGATTTGGAAAAGACCCCCACCCACAGCAGAGGCCGAAGGTCCTCTGGGCTTCCGCTGCCCACGGGAACGATGGATGCATTTTTGAAGAACGGTAGTGTTGACTGAGGTGCGAACTTGGAGGCTGGCAAACCTCGTCACTTCCTAGTTTCTTACAGAAAAGACTGGAGCTGAAAGCTTCCCGATCAAGCCCCAAGCCCCTGTCTTTGATCTGCGTGCGTTCAAAGCCCTTTGGTGAGTAGGAGGCGACCCGAGGTGGCATGTCTGGGAGCACTGTGAGAAAGGCATTTCAAGAAAGGCAGCTTCTCTGTCATTACCTGCTTGAGAAATCATTTCACAAGATTGGTCCACATTTACTCTTATATTTAACAGGGCATGCAGGCTACATTCCTCAAGCTTCATCTCTCCTGCTGCACCTTCCTTCTCTGCATGTTAAGTAGCCAAACCCCAAATCTATCGCCTCACGGTCAGTGTGGACTCACGGGGACCCTCCATCTGTTTCAGAAGCTGTAAATAGGAGCACACTGGCTGCCCATTTTCTGCCGTGTGGAGTTGGTGTGAACCTCTTGGTGACATGAAGCACAGTGCCACCAGGGCCTCAGCTGACAAAATCCCCTGTCTGTCACATATCTCACCTGCGAACAACAAAAAGTTGTGCTGTCTCCCTTTTTCAGGATTGAGGGCTGAACCTTAGGAGCCCTAACAGTCTTTGCTAAAGTTGGATCTCTTTATTTCCTCCGTTGGAAGACCTGCCTTCCTCCACTAATTTTAACATTTCTGAAATTCAGGTGCATTTTACCAATGAGTTTAAAAGAACAGATTGTCAACTGTTGGGTGTTGTGTAAGGTAGTATGTCACTTCCTACTTGGCTTAAATGAAAACATAGCGTTATTTCAGTTAAGAGCCTTGAATTCTTTTTATATGTTGTTGTTGTGTACCGTAGAGTCAGAACCGACCCATAGCTGACCTGGTGGGTTTTCAGAGGCAGTTAGTCACATGGGAGGAGATTGCCCATCCTTTTTCCACGAGATTTTGACTTAAAATATAAAGCTTTGATTCAACATTGAAATAAAAAGGTTTTGATAATGTTCTTAAAGGTTTGCTATATGCTTTGAGGGAGCTCTGGTAGTCCAATGGATAGTGAGTTGTGCTGCCACCCCAAAGGAATGCAGTTTGAATCCACCAGCTGCTCCTTGGGAGAAAGATGAGCAGTCTTTTCCTGCGTAATTTAAAGCCCCTGGAATCCCGCTGGAGAGTCAGGTATGAGTTGGTTCCAACTCCATAGCAATGAATTTTGAGTATAGGTTGCTTTGAGTCTGCTCTGGAAGGCAGATATGCTCATCACTTTATTACCAACCCCATCAATGATATGAACTGACATTTAAAGATGCTCTGGTGGCACAGTGGATTAGTGTTGGCCTGGTAATTGAAAAGTCTATAGTTCAAATTCATTAGCCACTCTGCGGGAGACGAATGGGACAGTCTATGCCCATATATATTTACAGCCTCAGAAACCTTATCAGGCAGTTTTATTTACTTTATAAATTAGAACAAACTTGATGGTTTTGGTTTGGGTATATGCCCATCAGTGTCTCATTTAACCAGCATTACAACCTATGAAGTACAACTTTTATCCCTATTTTACAGATGAAGAAGTGAGGTACCTCAGAGAGGTGAAATGTCTTGACCCAGTCTGTAGAGAGTTGCACTACTAACTCAAAGGCAGTTTGAATCCATTGTCTGCTCCTTAGAAGAAAGATGGGCAATCTCTTCCTTTGTCATTATAGCCTCAGAAACCCAGTGGAGGTTTATTAGCTATGAGTTGGTTCCAACTTGATGGCAGTGAGTTGGTCAGGATTCTAAAAGGAGTCTTGGAGGTACAGTTGTTAAGTGCTTAGCTGCTAAGTGAAAGATCAGTTATCTGCTTCAATAAAAATCACAGTGTAGCAAGCCTGAAGGGGCAATTTTACTCTGTCTTATTAGGTTGTTTTAAGAGAGAATAATATCAGCAACATCAGTATTCCAAACCAAGCTGTCTAATTTGAAAGCCCACTTTGTTGAGGCTCAATATCAAGAAGACAGATTCTCACCACTGGACCAATCGGCAGCTTTAGGATGGATGGTGAAGAGATTGAAATTGTTCACAGCTTTAGTCAGCTTGGCTCCACAGTCAACACGCTTGGCAACAGCAGCCAGGAAATTAAAAGACATATTGTGATGGGAAAGTCTGATGTTAGGGACCTCTCTAAAGTACTCAAGAGCAACGGTGTCTCTTTGGAGACGAAGGTGCACCTGATACAGGCCATGGGCTTTGCAATCACTTGTTATGCATCAGAGAGTTGGACAATGACTAGGGAGAATAGAAAGAGAATTGATGCCTTTGAGATGTGTTGCTGGAGAAGAGTATTGAGTGTACCATGGACTACTAGGAAAACAAACAGATTCATCCTTGAGAGGGTTAAACCGGGCTGCTCCTTGAAGGCAAGGATTCTGAGGCTTCGTCTGACATACTTTGGTCATATCCTTGGAGGGGGACATCATGCTTGGGAGGGTGGAGGGCAGGCGCAGGAGAGGAAGTCCTTCTATGAGGTGGATTGATTCAGTGATGGGTAATTGGGATGGATGCGTCAGAGACAGTGCAATTGACACAGGACAGAGCAGAGCTTAGGGCTGTTGTACATAGGGTCGCTATGAGTCGCAAGCGACTCGACAACACATAACAGCAACAACAACAACACTTTGTTAACCATGTAGTACACTGACTTGCAAGTCTATAGTGTCCAGACACAAGAGTGTTGCAGAATTCAGAGTCTGGCCTTTGAATGTTTGTCTATCTTTCTATGTCTGCTTATTTTTGTGTGTGTGTACAGGGAACTGAGAGAAAAGACACTGACTATACTTATTCCTGCATTAATACTAATTCTTTTTTTAATCTTTTGCAGTTTTAAATTTCTTTGTGTTCTGGAGCTCTTGACTGGAGTGTGGCAGGTGCATCTGAAGCCCTCCTGCCTCTTTTCCCTTTTACAAGAGTATAGAGACAGGTGCGCTTACAGCCCTGCCAGCTGCCTCCCAGTGAAACAGGATTTCATCTAAGTTGGGAGTCAGCTTTTCAGAGTTGTTGAATTCATACCACCTACTAGGAGTCCTCAGGTCCTGGAGCTTCAGGCACAAGCCAGAGTCCTGAGGGCAGGATAATAAGGTTAGAGGAGACCTAAGCAGTTGTGAAATCTTTCTCCACAGAGTCCAGCAGTTTCATTATCAGAAGAGGACAAGCCCAACTCTGCCTCGTGAGTTTGAGACCAGATAATTCCTCCGGAGAGCAGGCTTCATCATGCTGCAGCAGCTTCTGATCACCCTGCCCACAGAGGCCAGCACTTGGGTGAAGTTATGCCATCCAGAGAAGGCCAAGGAGGAAACACCCCTGTGGGAGGATGTAACTGAAATGCTTGCAAGAGAAGGTGAGAATAGATTAATGGGGCTGTGGGAGAAAGCAGAGGTCTCACTATGTGTGAAGAGTTGTTATATGCCCTCTAGTCCCCTACACCCATAGCAAACTCATATGCACTGTAGTTCTGAACTCTCCTCTATCCAGAGCCAATTTCACCATCTCTGACTAGGAAACTTTCCTCTGTGTGTATTTAACCTGAGAAAATTTCACAAAATAACACTAAACTGGGCCTTGAAAAATTTTTTTTAGAGGACTTGGGAATGAACAGAACAGGTACCTTCAAGAGTGGTTCATAGAATGAAGCCCATTGTATTCTGAGAGTTAAGAATGTGCCAGTAGGTGTATTTCATGTACTAAGAGCAGTGGCTTAAGGGAAAATACTATTAGGAAAAAGTGGTTCATACAGGTTATAGATTATAGGTTATAAATTGTCTTAAAGTACTTTATTTAGTGTTTTGCTTTTTGGGTGGTAGGAAGCCATTGCTGATTTTTTTTTTCTTTATCTGAGGAGGGACATGAATAGAGAGTTGTTCAGAGAAGGCCATCTTTGTATTAGACCTCAAAGCAACATACTACCATATTCTTGATCTAAATAAGCCTTGCACTTCTCTTGAGTCCCTCCTGAGCCCAGCTTTGTGAGTATGTCAGGAAGGAACCAGTGCATATATGGACTCTTCTGTAGTTGGGAGATTTGAGAAGATACAGACCTTATTACTTTTTCTGCTCCAGCTCTGCTATTTCAGGATGAAAATGTAAGCAAGGGAGAAAGTTTAGAGGATAAGGTGACCTTTGAAACTCCAACAGAAGTATCTAAGGTAAGTTTCCTCTCATTTTCTTGATACTGGTTCTTAGTTTTTTAAGATTCTTAGGGTGGAGAAGGGAACTCTGGTGGTCTAGTGGGCAAGGAGTTGAGCTGCCAACCCAAAAGTAGTACAGCGGTTCTACAGGAGGAAAATGGGCAACCTCCTCCTGTACAATTTATAGCCTCTGAAAACCCCCTGAAGGGACAGCTATGAGTTGATTCTAATTGGAAGACAATGAGTTACTGTATTTTGGGTTTGGGGTTAGGGGTAGGTGAGAAGCAGGAAGACTAACAAAATTCAACCTTGGGAGCTCAAGTGTTCTGCAGAAAATTGGGCCTCAGTGGTGACAGTTTCACTGCTTATATTAGCCTCCTTTTATGTAACACTTGTTTCTAACCCACATGTAGCTCTAAGAGTGTGCCCATCAGCAATGAGAAAAAGCAAAAATGAGTTCTAGGGCATAAAAGCTACCACATACTGCTTGAGAGATAAGATAAGCCTTAATATTATTCTCAAGAACAAAATGTTCAAGTAAGAATAAAATTCTCATATTCTCAGCAATGTACACAGGTTATTGGTAGAGGACTGGGAACAAATGTCAAGCTGCAAGCAATGGAGAAACAAGTAGAAAAGAAATAGTCAGGCCCTACAGTGCACATACCAGCCTGGATGTGCAGAATAGGGGAGGATTCTCAGAGAGCAGTTACAACAGGGTGTTGGATGCAGAAGCATTAGTGTAACAGGAAGTAAATTATACACTAAATGAGAAAGCACTTTTAACATTGTGCTGCGTATAATAAATGAGCTAGAAAGCCAGAGGTGCCAGCAACTCGGAGAGCCGTATTGCTGCCAACCCCCAAAACAGAGAAGATACAAACCAAAAAAAAGAGAGAGAGAGAAAAAAAATAGAGTGGAGTCAGGGGAAAACAATATATAGAAAGACAATGTTAAAAAACAAGTTTTAAAGTGAAGGGATTTTGGTTTTGAGAATTTTGGGTTTAGTCCCCTATTTTTAACTTCCAATATGTGGATACATATGTCATCTTAATGAGCCTGAAATGCATTCCAGAATTATTTAAATAACATTAAAGTTACCAAAATAGTCTTTGCACTTAAGGAATTTGTTATTATCCTAATCTTCTGCAACTTTGCTTTTACAAGATTTCCAACAATTAATGTGCCTGTTGCATTGAGAATATATTTTTTTATAATAACCATCTAATGGGTATTTTATTTGTGTACATAATACATGAAAGACTGTATCAGTGTACTTTATAACACTTAGTGTTTGCTTCAGTCAAGGAATTGTCCATATAAGGCAGAACATATGCTCACTTCAAAAACTTTGTCCTCTCATACTTTTCTCACTAACAGAAATGCCCAACTAAGGACTCTTGTTTAGTTGTTAATTTGAGCAGTTCAGCTGAACAAAGATACCACTTACGGCCTTTGCTCCTTCTGTCATTCAAATACCTCTGAACTTTGTCATATTCAAAGTTCTTTCCCCTTGCTGCAAGAGAACTAGAGCTAAATATGTAAATATGAATACATTTTCAATAGAAAAAATACAACTTATGTGTTCTCACCATTGTTTTGAACTTCCAGCACACAATCGGTCAATTATTGAGGTTTATTCAGGAAAACTTAACTGGAATTTCTTAGCTTCTAGACAGGGTCAAAACAACTTGCTGAACTCTGGCTTTAAAGAAGCATTCTTGGTGTTGTAGAAACTGTTAACCTTCAAGGACATATCTGTGGACTTCACCCAGGAGGAGTGGGGGCAGCTACCCCCTGCGCACCGGAATCTGTATCGGGAGGTGATGCTGGAGAACTATGGGAACCTAGTTGCAGTGGGTAAGGATGGGGACTCCTTACAACTTGTCGGCTATAAGTGAGCCATTATTTCTGAACCATCATTAAATGTTATGGACTGCCTGGCCTCAGAGGTTCTCTAATATTCTTTTTAAAACAAAACCAGGTCCTGGCTGATTCTCCTTTGATTTTTGTCTTTTGGGTTTTGGGGGGGAGGTGTTTTCCTTCTTTTTTTTTTAATTGTGATTTTAATGGAGGTTTACAGAAAGGTTGGGTTTTCATTCGTTGTTACATTTTCCTCCCTCCACCTCTCCAATCTGCTTTGCAATGCACCTCTTGTTCCAGATTGTTGTCTTACATACCTAATCATATTTTCCCTTCAGACAGTTCTTCTTATCTGTTGATTAACTATCTCATCAGTGTTCATTATCTATCCTCTCTTTTCCTATTCTTCCTCCGACCCCCCATGTTAGTCCTGTTTTATAACAGTGGTGTTATGTAGTATTTGTCCTTTTATGACTGAGCTATTTGACTCAGTATCATGTCTTCCAGGCTCACCTATGTTGTGTAGTGTTTTACAAGTTTATTGTTTTTTAATACTGTGTAATACTCCATTGTGTAAAGAACAACTTTACTTTGTAGACCTAGACAGAAGTCTGAATATGAGAGGACTAGTAGTGGAATTCTCTGGGTGGCTTTTATACGTCAGCATAAACATTCATATTCCTTTCTGCTCCACAAGCAGGCTATGAAATTTCCAAACCTAGCATGATTTCCCACTTGGAGAAAGGAGAAGAACCGTGGGTGCTGGAGAAAGATCTGGAAGATGCCAGTACAGGTGAGACTAAGGTGGTGGATAATACCTTTTAACACAGCCCCCGAAGACTTCCTGGCTGTGGCCACTGAACAGAGCATACCCTAAATCTAATTCACTTCTTTTCTCTTCTCTTGAGTCCTTGCAGAAGACTCCCTGGAGTCAGAGGGAAGAGAGGTCTTCTTCCCATTAAGATTAATTTATCTTCTTTCTTAGATGTGCTAAAGCTCAGGTGACCAAGATATGTGTTATTTTTTTTTTTGCACTTCACAACTCTTTTCTCTTTTTCATCTATTTCTGCATTTTGCCAACTTTCATTTTACAATTCCAGCTTCAATTCTCAATCTTTTTTTTAACATATACATTTAGGTTTCTTGCAACAACAACTTTATGAAAACTGGGAGAAAAATTTTCACATGATTCCTTTTTTACCACCTCTAGTGGTATTTAACAATTTCTTTGCTATGAAATATTTTAGGCATTCAAAAAAGCATAGAGAACATTCTACCAGATTCCTATGTAGCTTTCGCCTGGATTAAGAAATAAAAGAGTTGAATCTTGTGTTTGCCTTTCCCATCACCTCCAAATAGCATTTTTCTAAATTTAATTATTAAGGACCCCTCTTGGGGTGGTATCTTACATGTTGGGTTGCTAACACAAAGGTTGGAAATTTGAGTCCACCATGGGCTCAGGGGACTAAAAGGGGGCAATCTCTTGCTGTATGAGTTGGACTCAACAGTATAAATTATTATTTCTCTATGTGTCATCTTTATAACATCCCTCAACAATATAATGCATTATTTTCCGTGTTCTTATGCTTTAAATAAATGTAGATATACTACTTTTACTTGGTTATTTGCTCAATGCCATGTTGTTCTAGTCCATTGTTTTTCATTAAATTGTTGTTGTTGATGATTGCCATTGAGTTGCACACGACTCACAGTGACTCTATGAACAAAAGGCCTGAAGCCTTTCTATAACTATTGTCATTTATCAAAGTTCATAGAGTTTCCAGAGGCATGTGGTTTAGGAATTGGATGCCACTTCTGCTTCCAATTATTAAATTAGTGGCCTATAATCTATTTTTAATTTTCCTATTGATACTCAATTTATTTCTAATTTTGGAAGTTAAAGTACTATTGCAGTAAATTTTTGTGTTCATCTTCTTTTGTACATATGTGTTCTCTTCAGATATTTACTAGGAGCATAACTGTTGCTTATGAATAGATATGCCTTCATTTCGCAGTGTTGCCAGTTTGTGCACAAACCAATTTGTGCTTCACCAGCAGGGTTGGTTTTTTTGTTTTGTTTTTATACCTTTTTTTCTCTTGTTGTGTATCATCGAATCAGATCCTCCTGGCATAGGAGATTGCCCCTCCTTCTCCAGAAGAGCATCTGGTGAATTAGAGCCAAGCGCTTTTGGGATTACAGTGCAGCTTCTCGCCACTAGGCCACCAGAACTTCCTTACCGGCAGGTTTCAAGAGTTTCCAGAACTCATTGTCTTTATCAGCACTTGGAACTGTCAAATGTTAAATTTTTTAAAAAGTCTTTGAGGAAATATGGTATCTTGTGGTTTGATTTTTTTTTTCATTTTCCTGGTTACTAGTAAAATTAAGCATATTTTCATGTTTATTGACCATTTGTCTAGGTTCCTATGTAAATTTCCTCTTTATAGTCTTTGCCAGCTGTTCAGTTGGGTGGTTTATCTTTTTTTCTTTATTGACTTAAGAAAAAAAAATATGTATATTTTCCGGAATACAAATCTTTCCTGGCTTTATGCATTCCAAATCTGTTCTCTCAGTTAGTGACCTTTCAAATTTAAAAAATGGTGTCTTTTATGGCTGTGAATTAGGTATGATGCTATATTTATCAGTGTTTATTTCTTGTGCTTTTTGTGTATTAAAAACCGTTTTCTAGAATCCTCCACTTTATATTTTTAAAGTATTGTGCATTTACACTTAGTCCATTTGGGATTTACTTTTATATATAGAATAAGGTGGGGATCTAGTTTCATTATTTTGTGCATGGAAAAGCAGTCCTAGAACCATTTATGGAGTTATTCATGCCACTTTTTATTACCTGTATGTTTCCTTAAACACTACACTATATTCATGATATCTCAGTATTCTGATTTGTTGTTGCTGTTGTTGTGTGCAATCAAGTCAAAAGCAATTCATAGCTGATCCACCAGCAGATTTTCAGGGGCAGTAAGTTGCATGGGAGGAGATTGCCCATTCTTCTCCCATAGAAGAGCTGATAGATTCAAACCACATTCCTTTGAGATTGCCATGCAGTTTCTTACCATTAGGTCACCAGAGCTATTAGTCTTCTGTTTTTTGGTCTCTTATCAGAGACCTCTCCAAACTAAGGAGCAATGATGTCAGTTTAAAGACTAAGGTGCATTGAATTGAGGTCATGGTCTTTTCAGTCACTTGCTTTGCATCTGAGAGCTGGACAGTGAATATGAATGACAGAAGAATTGAGGCTTTTGAGTTATGGTGTTCGAGTAAAGTACTGAATATCCCATAGACTGCTGAAAAAAACATATGTCTTGGAGAAAGTGCAGCCAGAATACTTTTTCAAGGTAAGGATGGCAAAGCTTTATGTCACATACTTCAGGAATGTTGTTAGAAGGGGCTCTACTTTGGAAAGGGACTTCATGCTTGTACATGTGGAAGGTCAGCAAAAGAGGTGAAGACCCTCCTAGATGGATTGACACAGTGACTGCAACAATGGACTAAAGTACGTTGGAGATGATGAGGATGGCACAGGATAGGCCAGCATTCAGATCTTTTGTTCATGGGTTGCTATGCATTGTACTCAACTCGATGACACCTAACATCTCTACTGCCGGGCTGTCCTAATTACTATAGTTGATAATGAGACTTAATAGCTGGTTGAAGTAGTTTTCCTGCCTTTCAAATTTTTCTACTTTGAAATTGTCCTGGCTGTTACTAGAGAGCTCAAGTGCCTTTGTGGTAATGAGCTGTTCTGCCAGTTCAAAGGCAAACAGTTTAAAGCTGCTCCACAGGAGAAAAATGGGCAGTCTCCCCTCAGCCAGTTTTCAGCCTCTGAAAATCCACTGGAGGGTAAGGGAGCTCTGGTGGCCCAGTGGCAGGAAGCTGCACTGCAATCCTAGAGATGCGTGGTTCAAATCCACCAGAATCTCTGCTAGAGAAGGAAGGACAATCTCCTCCTATACCAGTCAGATATGATTTGACAATACACACACAAAAAGTAATAAAAAAATTAAAAAAGAAAACCCAAACCACTAGATGGTCAACTGTGAGCCTGTTCTGCCTCTTTGGCAGTGAGTATGGCTTTATTTGTAGAAATGAACTTTCAAGGACAGGTTAAATAACTAGACAATGTTAAAAATATCTAAATATTAAAGTAAGTATGCTCTCATTTCAAGATCTCATTTTTTTTGGCCTTATGTCTCTCTTTATGCTGCTTGAATGTGGAGAGGAGTATCTTCTTTTTATACTTCGGAAATTATTTCAAAAGTTTCTCTCAGTTGGAAAAAGCTATATTTTTGAGATACATCTCTGAAATATATTACTTAATATTATTAGAAAGAATAGGCCTGCAAGGCTAAATTTTTATAACAAAGGGGAAAGCAAAAGATTTTCTTTAATAAAGTAGGAACAAGTACATGCATGGCTCTTCTGGCCTCAGGTAGCAGGAGAACCATTGCTAATTCTCTTTATACCTCTCCTAGGAATCTTTACTGTCCTTGCAATGCTTCCTGGAGTGCCTCCTCCAGCTGCAAAATTCCCCTTCCTCAATCTGTAGACATTAGGTGGATCTCTTCTCTGTTGAATCACTCTGGCATCCTTTGCTTCTCTACTCATACCCATTTTTATTTCTGAGCCTTCTGTCTCCTAATTCTTCATTTTCTGCCTCATTTTACTGGAATAGATCCTTCAATACTGTATGCAAGCAATAATACCTGATCTCTTTCTGTCTTCTAGCTAATATTTACCCTCCTACCCCTGCCCTTTTCTTACTACTGTTTCCCCTTGTAATTCAAATACATAGGTAATCTCCTGGATCTAATGTCATTCTTCTTGATATAAAACACTTAGGGAGCTCTGGTGGCCTAGTGGCTAGAAGCAGTGCTGCAGTCCTGAAAACACACAGTTCAAATCTACCAGATGCTCTGTTGGAGAAGCAGGGGCAATCTCCTCCTGCGCCAATTGGATCTGATTCGACCTATACACAACAAGGAAAATAAAAACCCAAAAATATCAAGCAAAAACAACCCCCACAAAAACCCCATTACTATAAGATATTAAAAAAAACCCAAATAAATAAAACAAAACACTTTTAACCTTTTCACTGATTCATACCTTGGCTTCCCATTATCTTCCAAGCTGCATGACCATATTTATTTACACAGAGTCTAAATCTCATGCACTTCATGAGCAGAATCTTTTCAATCTATCATACAAAACCACAGTAATGAGTTTTTCAAAGCATAATGAATTTTCGTTATATGTTTTACCCCTCTCATTTCTTTCAGACTTAAAGAATGAAAGAGAAACCAGTGATTCAATCACAGGAGATGACATTCCACAAGAACAGTTATATCATGGCATTAAAATGGAAGGGCTCTTGGAGGATGATTTCACTTATTCTACGTTGAGGAAAGTTGTCAGATATGATAATGAGTTAAAAATGCACCAAGAGACTTGTGGAAGAAATGTGCTACAAGCCATCTTGACCCACAAGAACAACTCAAAAGGCCAAAAAGCTAATACATTTGTGGAAAATATCATTGTGAGTTCAGATGTTATTACAGAACACAAACATGGCAAACCTAAAAAGAGGAGAAAATACAGTGTAGATTTGATCAGTCGTCCAACAGATTGCATAAGAACAAAAACCTTTCAATGTAATGTGTGTGAGAAATTCTTCAAGCAGCACATTCACCTTATTGAACACATGAGAATTCATACTGGTGAGAAGCCTTTCATATGTAAAGAATGTGGAAGAGCCTTTAGTCAAAGTGCATCACTTAATACACACCAGAGAATCCATACTGGTGAGAAACCTTATGAATGTGAAGAATGTGGCAAAGCCTTCAGACACCGATCATCTCTTAATCAGCATCATAGAACTCACACTGGGGAGAAACCCTTTGCATGTGATAAATGTCAGAAAGCTTTCAGCCAGAATGTTAGTTTAATCCAACACTTAAGGACTCACTCTGGAGAGAAACCCTTTGCATGTAGTGAATGTGGAAAAACCTTTCGACAAATTCGACACCTTAGTGAACATCTAAGGATTCATACTGGGGAGAAGCCCTATGCATGTTCTGCATGTTGTAAAACTTTTAGCCACAGAGCTTATCTAACGCATCACCAGAGAATCCATACTGGAGAGAAGCCCTACAAATGTAAAGAATGTGGGAAATCCTTTAGGCAGAGGATTCACCTTAGCAACCATAAAACTGTTCATACCGGAATAAAAGCTTATGAATGTAATCGCTGTGGAAAAGCCTATCGGCATGATTCATCCTTTAAGAAACATCAGAGGCATCACACTGGAGAAAAACCTTATGAATGTAATGAATGTGGAAAAGCTTTCAGCTATAATTCATCACTTAGTCGACACCATGAGATACATAGGAGAAACCCATTCCCAAGTAATACACAAAATCTGACTATTTAGCGTGAGAAAAAAAGTTCATTCTAAATCTAGGCTTTCAAAATTGAAGACTCAGGACTTTTACATAAATTTGAAGGATTTTCTAGGATGTCAACTTTTAATTTTTCCTACTGCATAAATGAAAAATTTCAGTGATGCCTACTGTCTACTAACAATGCACCATACAAAGTATTTAATCAAGATTAAAGAATGGTCTTTCAAATGAAATAAATTCAGCATTATGAAAAATCCCTTGTGCATTAACAAACTTTTATTCTTGGCCTTTCACTGATTTACAGACTAGCATTTGTGAACCACTGTTTAATCACCATCCCTATTTTTTCATTAAAATAAAAATTTTATGTGATGTAAAATTTTAAGAGTTACAGAAAACAGTATACCACAAAAGTTTCCTTTTTCTATTTCACTACTGGTAAGGCAGTGTTTGTCTGTCAGTTGCTGTATTTGAGTGACTTGCTGGTTACTGTGATGCTAGAAGCTATGGTAACAGTATTTTAATTTTTTTTTTAATTAGTGTGTGTGTGTGTGTGGTCAAATTGGATCTGACTGGTACTGGAGGAGATTTTCCCTCCTTCTCCAGCAGAGCATCTGGTGGGGTACCAGTATTTTAAATACCATGGTGGACATGTTTTAACGTAGGTTCCAGGTTAAGGCAGACTAGGAAGAAGTGTTTACTGTCCACTTTTGAAACAACAGGTGTTTGAAAGCCAAATAAAGAAGCAGGGAACACTGTTAGATAGATATACTGGGAAGTAGAGCCCTTAGATTGGAGAACACTAACAAAAATTGTGTAGGACCCCTTGCAAACATCCATTGTGACAGATAGTGAAGATGACACAGAATAGGGCATGGTTTAGATCCATTGTTTATTTTGTTGTTATGTGCTGTCAAGTTGTCTGTGACTCACAGCGACCCTGTGTACAACAGTCCTAAACTCTGCTGTATCCTGTGCCAATCTCATTGTCACTGACACACCTACCCCCGTTACCCCAGTCACTGAATCAATCCATCTCATCAAGGTTCTTTCTCTCCTGTGCTGACCCTCAACCCTCTCAAGCATGACACCCCTCTCCAACACCCTCCTTGAAATATGTCCAACGTATGTCAGATGAAGCTTCAGAATCCTTGCCTCTAAGGAGCAGCCTGTTTTTACCCCCTCCAGAATGAACCTGTTTGTTCTCTTAGCAGTCCATGATACATTCGATACTCTTGTCCAGCACCACAGCTCAAGGGCATCAATTCTCCTATCATCCCTACTCATTGTCTAACTCTGATGTATAGCAAGTTATTGCAAAGATCATGGCCTGTATCAGGTGCACCACAGTCTCCAGACTGACATCATTGCTCTTCAGTACTCTGGAGAGGTCTCTAATAGCAGACTTTCCTAATGTAATTTGTCTTAATTTCCTGGCTGCTGGTGCCAAGAGTGTTGATTGTGGAGGCAAGCGAACTAAAGCTATTAACAATCTCTTCACCATTCATCATGATGCTGCCAATTGGCCCAGTGGTGAGAATCTTTGTTTTCTTGATACTGAGCTTCAATCCATATTTAAGGCTGCAGTCCTTGATCTTCTGCAGCAAGCGCTTTAGGTCCTCCTCAGTTTCAGCAAGCAGGGTTGTGTCATCTGCATAATGCAGGCTGTTGATGAGTCTTCCTCCAATCCTGATGCCACATTTCTCCTCATAGAGCCCAGCCTCCCAGATAATCTGCATAACGACTGAAAAGGTTATGGAGAAAGGACACATTCCTGGCATACATCCTTCCCAATTTTGAACCATGTAGTCATAGTCAAAGTCAAAGTCCACTCAGAGGCAGCTATTTTCTGAATTAATTTTTTTGGGAAAAAACCTCAGATGTGGTTGTTGTTGTTGTTATGTGCCGTCGAGTCATTTCCGACTCATAGCGACCCTATGCACAACAGCCCTAAACCCTGCTCTATCCTGCGCCAACCGCACTGCTTCTGACACACCCATCCCGATTACCCCAGTCACTGAATCAATCCATCTCATAGAGGGTCTTCCCCTCCTGCGCTGTCCCTCCACCCTCCCAAGCATGATGTCACTCTCCAAGGACCCGTCCCTCCTGGCAACATGTCCAAAGTATGTCAGACGAAGCCCCAGAATCCTTGCCTCCAAGGAGTAGCTTGGTTTAATCCTCTCTAAGATGAATCTGTTTGTTTTCCTGGCAGTCCATGGTACATTCAGTACCCTTCTCCAGCACCACAGCTCAAAAGCATCCACTCTCCTTCTGTCCTCCCTAGTCATTGTCCAACTCTCTGATGCATAACAAGTGATTGCAAATACCATGGCCTGTATCAGGCGCACCTTAGTCTCCAGAGAGACACTGTTGCTCCTGAGTACCTTTGAGAGATCCCTAACAGCAGACTTTCCCATCGCGATACGCTTTTTTATTTCCTGACTGCTGGTGCCAAGAGTGTTGACTGTGGAGCCGAGCAAACTGAAGCTGTGAACACTCTCAATCTCTTCGTCATCCATCCTGACGCTGCCAATTGGTCCAGTGGTGAGAATCTTTGTCTTCTTGACATTGAGCCTCAGTCCATACTGAAGGCTGCAGTCCTCGACCCTCCGCAGCAAGCGCATGAGGTCCTCCTCAGTTTCAGCAAGCAGGGTTGTGTCATCTGCATAACGGAGATTGTTAATAGATCTTCCACCAATCCTGATGCCACAATTCTCCTCATGTGGTAGAATCTTTAAAAATGTATATGCACATTGCTTTTATTACTCAATATACTGTAAAGGTCATGCCATATCTATATAGATAGTGCTGCCTTGTTTTTTGCTGTTGTTGTTGTTGGTTTCTGTCAAGTCAAGCATGACTCATAGTGACCCTATGAACAAAAGGCCTGATTTCCTTCTATAACTGTCGTCGTTTCTCAAAGTTTTTAGAGTTTCCAGAGGCATGTTGTTTAGGAAGTAGATTTTTTTAAATAGCAGCATGCTATTTCCTGGTATGGATATGTGTTATTTATGAGGTTCATTATGGATGGACTTTGGGGTCATTTTCAGTCTTTTTTTTATTCAATACAGGGTTCAGCTCTATTGTTTATAGTGTTGTTATGAGGTGTACTTGAAAACACCTAACAACAATAGCAATGGTAAATAATCTTTATTTTCATCTCACATTTTTAGGGAGATATAGAGATAATATATAAATTTATAGTATAAATTTCCAGAACTGGAGAGCTTGCATATTTGTATTATGAATATTGCCAAATTGAGCATAGAGAGTAGACCAGTTTATTTTCCCACCAGTAGATGGAATTTTGGAGCCACGTATGTTATTGAAGATAATATTTCTGGGGAAACAGGCCTGTCATCCATCCGTAAATAGTTCACTTATTCAGTGTTATCAAGTTGTTTCTAACATACAGTTACCCTACATTGGATTTCCAAGGCTGTAAATCACAGTAGGAGACAGCCCATCTTTCTCCCTTGTATCTGGTGGTGGATTTGAATCACTGAAGACATGAAACCCTTTGGGTTAACAATACAGCTCACTACAGATTACCCCAACAGAGCTTCCTATCTGTTAAGCATTAACTTATTTAAATGGCTTGCTATCAACTGAGCTTCATCAGAAGTAGCACACACCATTCCTGGAGCCACAGAGGAATCTAACTTCTTAAAAGGGCTTACAACTAGACAAGGAGACCTGATTTCTCAACCATAGAGTCACTTTAAAGAGGCTGATCCACCTGCCTTTGTGTATGTAATCTTGGCAACGAAGCAGCTCCTTAGAGTAGCAGAAACTTCCATAGACTATTGACTTCGCCATCTGATGCCTTTTACAGGTTTTTTTACTGTTGATACGATCTGTAGAGTGATAATGAACTAATAGCTCACCCTCCAGCAGGTTATCAGAGTCAGTAAATCACAGAAGAAGAGATCTTTCTGCCATCGAACAGCTAGAGGCTTTAAACTACATGTCTTTAGGTTGGTAATACAACACCTTACCACTAAGCCATCAAAGCTTTGCATTAAATACCTATAATTAATACACACCAAAAGACAAAAAGGAGTCACATGACTTTATACTTAACAAACTGTTGCCATTTTCTGGCAAGATCTGAGGACATGGCGCTGCTGAGGAAAAAACACGCAAGCAGACAAAGACGAAGTGAGACATGGGGCCAAAGCCAGAGCTAAGGCCTTTACGTTTATTTTTCTAAGCATTTAGAGAGAATACAGCATTATATTACTGTCAGAATAACCAAACTTCTTGCTACACAGCAAACAATTATCTCAAAGACCCTAAGGTAATATATCTAACAATTATCTTTGGGGCCAGAAAGAAATGTGTCCTTGGATATCCAGACACCAGAGCTTTTATTTTTTTTAATTTTTCTTTATTATTTTTGTGTGAGTGTACCGTCAAATCAGATCTGATTGGTATAGGAGGAGATTGTCCCTCCTTCCCTGGCAAACCATCTGGTGGATTCGAACCGTGAGCCTCTGGGATTGTAGTTGCAGCTCCTTGCCACTAGGCCACCAGAGCTCCCCGACACCAGAGCTTTTAATGTCTTACTCAGATTATCCTAACAAACACACAAAAAGTTTATCTCTACTTTCTGCAAATTTTCAAGGACAGTAGCTTTTTGTTAATCTCTATTTTCCAAGAATTCTCAAGGACTTTAGTTTCTCATCAATTATGCCTTCACAGCTGCTCTTCTGGGTCTAATGTGGTCACATGAATGCACCCTGTTTTGGGTTGTTGTGTTTGTTTTTTTTTACATTATCTACCTTCTTGTCCAGGAAGCTAATTTCAGCTAATTTCCCACTGAGTGTTCTCAAAAAAGTACTCTTAGACTCACATGCTGACAGTAAACCAAGGCACAATGGTTTCAGAAACTTTCACAATTATTCACGAGTAATGACAGTTTGCTCAGCTCCACGGTCAACACCCTTGGCACCAGTAGCCAGG